AAAAAAAAATCAAGAGACTCGATGGAATAACACCAGGCTATTCTAGCTTTCCACAGGAAGTGCTGCTGGCCATAGAGCTTATCCCCTTGCAGTTAGAATGTCTTTTAAATACATCAGGTGTGTTTAGTTGAATAACAGGAGACTCAGGTGCCGACCCCATCCATAGTGAGCTTGCCACCACCGAAGCACTCAGAGATATGGCCAGGTTACAACTCCCTCCCTGCAGTTAGTGGAAAGAATTGAAACCACCATCACCACAGCAGCCTTAAACACATAATTGAATTTCTAGCAACTCTTTTGTGATCTGTGTTCAAATGATGCTAAACTAATCAGCCATTCATTGGCTGGGTTGGTGAATAGACAGGCTTATTTTTTAAACATTGACTGATGTTCTAGACTTCTAGCATGCTATAATAATTCCATCATCACTAACAGAGAATATTTCAAATCAATATATTCTTTTGCACATCATCAGCTGCCCACATCTTGCGTATGGTTATTGATTTAAAATATCAGGTTCTCAGCATTTCCTATCTAGTATTCTATTCCTATCCTTTTTCCTAATCATTCCTCTGTGGATGTATTAGCTCACATTTCCCAAAGAGGAAATTCTTTTGGACTCCATTAAGACACAATCACAAAATTACTGGTAGAACTTTCTTATTCGCATCTGCAGATTCGGTTAAAATGACATTTATCCTTTCTTCTTTGTTTTTAATAACTCCATAGCATTATGACATTTGGATTATTTTAATGATCATAAAAAAATGTAGTTGTGAAGTGTTGAAAGGTTACACACTTTTCTTAATCTTCTAGTTTAAGTTTTCATTTTATAAAGGAAGAAACCAAGACCCAGAGAGATGAAATATCCTGTCCCAGATGACACAGTGCTTTGGAACAGTCTGCACTGAGACTAGAATCAGGTCTCCTGACCCTGTAGCCAGAGCTCCTTGTAAATAATAGAAAATAACCTAATCTTAGGCTAGTGTGGTAACAACCAGCAACATCAAGGATCTCTATTGTCATCACTGATTTTGCAGCCCATGAGAGAAGAGAAACGCTTTGCAACAACTTGCAACTTTTCCCAATCAAAATAGAGTCAAGGAAAATACAGTAGCAGCATCATATAGATTGACTGGCCCTAAGGAATGTGCTGGCCAATTGCAACAAGGTGCTAATACAGCATTTTAAAAGTGTGTTACAAACCGCAAGAATTAACAGATGAGAGAGACAGGAATTAGAAAGCTTCAATGTCACGCAAAGAAAAAGCTTCATTTTGTTATATTGCCAAAACTCCATTTTAAAACATAATCATTTGTTCTTTTCTTCTGTCCCTCCAGATATGGTAATTAGACCTTGTCCGTGATAACCAAGAATTCCAGTCCCAGAAGTGTTCACTGACTCCTAAATCACAGCGGAATGGAAGCTGGCTGAGTGAACTGCAGGTTCCAGTTAACCGAAACCAATATAAACATGAAGGCTTAGAAAACTGATGTAGGAAGTGATGATTTGGAATTATTACTGATTCACTGAAGGACTTTTTTTTAATCAAATACCCCTCCTCTGAAGATTTTCTAATATAATTTACTTGACAGTAGCTGTAATTATATGTAAATTTTCAAAAATACATTACAAATAGATTCAGT